GTGGGGGCTCCCTCGTGCGGCCAGTCGAGCCGCTGCCGCCGCCCCGTTTCCCGCTGTGCTGAGGACTTCGCGGTGCCCCCCTTCTCTCTGCGGCTGCTGGGCGGCAGAGAACCGGAGCGGCGGCGGTGGCGGCCCGACTGGCCGATCGGCCGAGCGAGAGAACCACGAGGCCGCAGGCAGCCTGCCCCTGATCCCGCTGCCCTTAATTTCGTTCCTGCAATGTGCCGATATAACGACACCAATCTTTTAAACAAAAAAAAAAAGAGGAGGTGGGCTAATGGGCGTGGAAAAAGTGGGGAGGGGGGAGGTGGGAGGGCTCAGTCACCCGCGAAGCAAACAGAAAATCCTGGGATTTGAGGATTTCAGCTGATGCGGAGCAAATGAGGGAAGCCCCGGGCCAAAAGGAAGCATCGAGCCAAATTGTGTGAAACCGACCAGATGCTCCGGAGGAAAGAGAGGCTTCACCGCGCTTCATCGCGGGAAAAAGTCCCGTGAGAAATCGCCCATTCCCTGTGCCACAATGATGAGCTACTGTGATTGGCTGAGAAAACCCTATAGTGTATGAAGCCACATGCAGGAAAACCTGCAGAAACAGCTACTGTGCAGGCATAAAGCTGTTTGACACGTTGTTTGAATCTGGGCAAAAACATTCAGCCAACAGGGCGAGGGGCTGAATTAGTACATAAACAAGTAGTCTCATTATATTTTAGGATTGCCAGCCCCCAGTGGAGGTGGGGGTCCCCTGTTGCCAGGACCCACCCCCTGCTGCCAATCAGATGGCCAGTAGTGAGACTTACCAGGAGAGAGAGGAAGTCCCAGGCCATATCACCGGCATCACACTGGAAGTGGTGTCATCGTGCTGGTGACATCTGGGCCACGCTCTACTATTTGGGAAAAAACTCAATGGTAGAAGCCATTTTTACCGTAGAGTTTTTGCCCAAATACCAGAGCATCACAACAACAGTGCAGCATGATGATGTCACTTCCTGTGCAACACCAGCAATGTGGTCTGGGCCTTCTTCTTTCTCCTGGTAAGTCCCCCCATCCCCCACCAGTTGCCTGGAGGGACTTGGCAACCCTATTATGTATGTATTTATTTAAAATATTACTGTGCCACCTTTCCAGCCAAATAGGGTCCCCAAGGCAGCAAACATCAAAACATTTGAACATTAAAACTGCATTTGAACTAATATATAAGATAATTCAATAAAACCATATAAACACAACATAAAACACCAAAACCAGCCAGGGGTGTGTATATGTGTGTGTGTGTAATTAACAAGTTATTGGGAATATGCCAAATGAAACAAAAAAGTATTCACCTGCTAGTAGAAGACAGCGATTGAGTGGGACAGATGCATCTCCCTGGGAAAGGAGTTCCAAAGATTTGGCCACCCATCAAACCTCAGACAGCAGGGGCATGTAAAGGTATGCTAATCCCAAGTCATATAGGGCCTTAAAGGTAAGTATTAGCACATTGCATTGGGCTCAGAAGCAAAAGGGGAAGCCAGTGTAGATGGAATAAGACTGAAGTGGTATTGCCTTTATGACCCACTCCGGTCAACATTCTGGTCTCTGCATTATGTACCAATTTATGGTAAATTCAGATGGCCATTGCATTTGTGTTAAAGCTCACTGCATCCCTGGTTTCCCCCTTCAGTTCAGCTTTGTGAAGGCGAAGGATTCAATGCTTTCCCTCCATTATGGGAACCTGGTTAGGGAGAGTGAAGAGGAATGAGCAAGGCTTCCCTGAGGACTTTGGGTCTGCTTGGAAAGAATACCCAGGGCCCTAAGCTACCCTTCATCGGGGCAATGGCCACCCTTCTTGCTTGCCCCTATGCCAGGGGGGCATTGCCTGTCCTCATCAACTCCCCCCAATACACACCAAAGAAAGGCAGGAACATGCTGCCTGCCCTCCTCTTAACCAGTTCATACCCTTTTTGTCCCCCTGCCCTGCCTGGGCCCATGGAGGCAGGGAGACAGCAGGCTCCCCATTGCTGGCATTCTGCTGGGGCTTGTGGAGCCTCCCCAATGCTGTGACTGGGCAGGGGAGGGCTAATGGTGGCTGGTCTGTTTGTCTCCCCTCCATGGCTGGCACCCTAGACAAATACCTAGAGCCCCTGTAATTAGATACTATGCACTTCAGCACACAATACTGATGGAAGCACATCCCTCCCTTCCAGGGGGATCCAGGCCACAGTATTTCCACTGCTTCTTTTCCTCAACCTGGAATCTGTTTTTTTAATGAGAGAAAGGGGCAATATGTTTCCAGTGATTCCCCCTATCTAGTCCAGGAGTTGACTTGGTGGAGGCCCTGATGGACTGGATGTGGCTTGTAGGCCATGATTTGGCGGCTCTCGAAGATTAAAATTTATTCTAGATCTTTTTAATTTAAGACTATTCTTTGTATTTAGCAGATCCCAAACTTTGATGTCCACTTAAATCTCTTTTCAGGATGTGGATGCTGCCTATATGAACAAGGTGGAGCTGGAGGCCAGGGTAGCATCTCTCACTGATGAACACAACTTCTTGAGATGCCTCTACGATGCGGTGAGGAAACATCTCTTGCAGGCTATCTGGAAGTTCACCATGTTCTTTGCAAGAGTCACTTTGATTTTGAAAAAGTCCCACTCACCATTCAAAGGAAGGAGTAATTCTAGGCATGGGATTTCACTTGTAAAGGGTTATATCGGCATGATAAAGTTGAATACCATCCACCAATATGTATTCTTTCATCCTTCAGTTACCATGCTTCTTAGTGATGCTATGCCTTGTGCCTTATTTGTTTTTATGTCTTTCTTTTATGTCCAAGGGGACCCAAAGAGGCCCACAACAACAAACCAATGTCTTACAGATAAACCAAAAAACCTAACAATATATCGTAGGTGGGCTGGGAATCAATTGCTGGTTCGTTCAAAGGTACTGTCTGTGAGCCATGGGCTAAGATCTGAAGGACTCATGCTTCTGTCCCCACTCAAACTTTATAGTAACTTCAGCAAAAGAAAGGCAAACTTATTCCAGGTGGAACTTAACTGCTGCTGCAAGATCTTCTTCACTTCCCATCCATGGCCCAGAGGGCTAGGAGATAAAAATGTCTGTTTTGCATGGGGCAATAGCAAGCCACCTCTCTGAAATGTTCAAGCCCCACTGGGGGTTACCAGAAGTCAACCATGACTTTCAGATCTCTCTCTCTCTCTCTCTCTCTCTCTCTCTCTCTCTCTCTCTCTCACACACGCACACACACAATACCAAAAATAAGAAAAGAAAGAAAATACTGACCTAGATAGACAAAGAATCTGACTCAGCATAAGGCAACTTGATGTGCATTTCTGTGGTTTCCAGGAGCTGGACCAGATGCGAGGACAGATAAATGATACCAGCATCATCCTTTCCATGGATAACAATCGGGACTTGGATCTGGATAGCATCATTGCAGAAGTGAAGGCTCAGTATGAAGAGATGGCAAGCAGGAGCCGAGCTGAGGTTGATGCTATGTATCAGAGCAAGGTATGTGCTCCTGGCCTGGATCTGGATTTTGACTTAGGCCCTGTGGTAGAATGTAGAAGGTCTCAGGTTCAATTCCTGGCATCTCCAGTTAGAAGGACTAGGTAGAACGTGATGTGAAAGACCTCTGCCTGAGACCCTGGAGAGCTGCTGACAGTGAGAGCAGACAAGATTGACTTTGGTCTGGTTCATTATAAGGCTTCCTGAATTTTTTTGAGTAAAGCTCTGGGACAAAACATTACTAACTGGCATATTCTAAAACAGCATTTCTTGACTGAGCCCTTGTTGAAATAGATTCCGTCACTGAAATGTCATTTCAATACAATATACTATTGGAGAAATGACAGCCTGCTAATTACTGTAAATATTGCTGAAAGAGTAGTTTAGTCCCCTCGTACCCTAGAGCATTCTCTAATGTTTATTGAATGTTTTTCTTGAAGTTCAGCCTACCTCTTGTTGTTTTTTCTCTTTGCTGTGTGCTGTGTGTGTTAGCGCTTGTGCTCTGAAGGCCTCATTGTTCTATTAATGGCCTGCAATCAGTTACTGTCTTTCTGCAAAATCCTGTTGCAGTAAATTCTATGAAAGCAATCTCCAGAGTGAGGATTTTGGGTTGTCATTCCCCCGGCGGTGGTAGGGAATACCCCAATTTTGGGGGCTTCAGCCCCCTGCTGGACAGCTGGACAGTATGGGAAGCTTCACCCACAAATAGGGACATTACTGTGTGACGTCCCTGACACAATGACATCACCCAGAAGTGACATCATTGCACCTGGGACGTTCTGGTATTTGGGAAAACTCTATGGTTTTGATGCCGAAAAAAACATAGAGTTTGCCCAAATAACAGAGCATCCCCCACATGACGTCCCTGGCATGATAACATCACTTCTGGGTGACATCATTGCATCAGGGATGTTGCGCGATGTTCCCTGGAAAGCTCCCAAAGTCCCCTGCTCCAGGCAAGGTAAGACCTGGCAACCTTATATAGATTGGATCATTTCTTCAACCCTATTCCTTCCCAAAGGAGCTTCATGCTCCATTTCTAAAATGGTCAGCAGCAAAAATGTTCTTCACACCAGGCTCACATGGGAAGTGGCCTTCTGAAGTACAGTAGCAGAAAGACCAGTGATATGACATTTCTTTTACTGGGTGTGCCCGATCAAAATGTCTTTCATAGTGAGACTTTTGAGACCAACTTTTTTGTTCAGCATAAGCTAAAAAGGTCAGTGAAATAAAGGCTAGGGGGAAAGATACACAAGAAAATAATAACAAGTCTTGGCATAATCCTTTGACTAGAAAAAAATCGCCACATTTGGTCAAACAAGCTCAGGAATTGTGCAGCCCCCCCCCCCCCCCCCCCCCCCCCGTCTTCCCTGAACTTTCCACAGTTCCCTGGAGCCTTAAATAACACCTTATGGTGGTGTTTGCTTAACGCTCCATTAGGTACAATCTGGTCAGTCTGTGAGTAAGGAAAAAAATGACTTAAGCTAACAACACATTGTAGACATCTCCATTTTTGTGGTGTTTGCAATTGTCACACAGCCCCCCCCCCCATGTCCCTCATTCAGTTCTGGACATTGTGTGGTCAAGAGACAAGGCTGCCAATCTCCATCTTCTGCCTGATATTCACTCTGTGGAATCAAATCCCTGACGTGCTTCCTCCCTCCCCCACTTTCCACAAGCTCCACCCCTAAATCTCCAGGAATTTCCCAAGCCAGAGTTGGCAACCCTCCCAGGACACTCTGTTCAGATGGCTGTATTTGTTCACTGATTTAACCTGAGTTAATTTTTGTTAAAATTAAAAATTTAACCTGAGGATAAGAAGTCATTGACTCCTGTTTTAATATCTTGATGCATATCAGTTTCAGGAACTTCAGCTCACAGCTGGGAAGCATGACGATGCCTTGAAGAACTCCAAGGTGGAGATTTCTGAGCTGAACAGACTCATCCACAGACTGAGAGGAGAAACAGAAAACGTAAAGAAACAGGTAATTTTTTCACTGCCTAAGTGCAGATACATAATGTGTCAGTCTCTGTCTTTGGGATTCCATATACTGACAGCAGAATAATTTAAGCAGCATAGGAGAAAAAATAAGCAAATATTTTCATTTTTTAAAAAAAAACAAACATTCAAAATAATTCTTCATGAAATATGTAAATGTATTAATTCGACCAGTTCAATGCAAAAATAATATTATGAATTATGATGAAGCATTTAAGACACATCTGCAGCCTTCATTGCCTTATCATGTAAAAATCCATAGGAGTGGATTTCTGGTCTTTGTACTTTCCCCAGTGTGTTCATCTTCAGTCAGCCATTGCTGAGGCTGAAGACCGTGGAGAGACTGCCATCAAGGATGCGAAGGAAAAACTGGTGGGTCTGGAGAATGCCACCCAGAAATCCAAGGAAGAACTGGCTCGACTTCTGCGTGATTATCAGGAACTCCTGAATCTTAAATTAGCCCTGGACATTGAGATTGCCACCTATAGGACACTCCTGGAAGGGGAGGAATTCAGGTGGGTATGATGATGGAGCAAATGATTTAGGGATGATTATGAAATCCAATCAGACTGCATTATGCAATCAAAGTCCTCCCTAATTCTCCTGGACTGCTGATTGGTAGGGCTCCCAACCGTCAGGTGTTGGTTGGAGATCTCCCAGACTTACAACTGATCTACAGGCTACAGAGATCAGTTCCCCTGGAGAAAATGGCTGCTTTGGAGGGTGGACTCTATGGCATTATACCCTGCTGAGTATACCGCCCCTCCCCAAATTGTGCCTTCCCCAGACCCCCCCCAAAAACCCAGCCCCACCCCCCCCCAATTTCCTGGAATTTTCCAATCTGGAGCAGGCAACCCTACTGACTGGATAAAATCCTGTTCCATCCAAGGGCCTTCTGATGACCAGTTTGACCAAATATGAGCCTGAGACTCAATCTGAGATTTAGAGCTCTGAGCTTTTTGGGGGGCAATCATTTGCATTTGGGAAAAATTGGATAGAAAGATAGGAGGGGGAGGTAAGGGACAAACAAGTTTGCAAACTGTTATGACGGATTTTCCCATTGAATCACCAGGAATGGATGCTAGAGGAAAACTCCTCACAAATGTACTGCCATCAGTGAAATGAACTCAAGACTAGAATCCAGAATCCAGTATTTTGTCCTTTCAGTGAATTAGTATCTCCACAAATTAAAACTATTGCATTAGCATGTATCAAGGAATATGTTACTCAAGTGGTTAAGACGCTGAACTGCAGGCTGCGGAAGGTCAGTAGTTCAGCAGTTCGAGACCCGGGTTGCCGCATGACAGACTGAGCTCCCATCTCTAGTTCCAGCTCCTGCCAACCTAGCAGTTCGAAAGCAAGAAATTGCAAGTAGATAAATAGGTACCACTTCGGTGGGAAGGTAACAGCATTCCGTGCGCCTTGGTGTTTAGTCATGCTGGCCACATGACCATGGAAACGTCTTCGGACAGTGCTGGCTCTTCGGCTTTGAAATGGAGATGAGCACCGCAACCCTAGAGTCGGACTCGACTGGCTTTCGAGCAAGGGAACCTTTACCTTTTACCCCACACAACGGTTTTGTTCAGAAGCCCGGAATGATTAACTCCCCCCCCCATATTGCAAAGTCTGAGAGAGCAGGACCTTGCCTAAGGCTGCTCAGGTGAGTCTGAGATACTTCCCGGCTCAGAGCTCACACTCTCAATCCCAACATGACACCTTCTCTTGCTTACTTCACTTGCTGAGTCTCATAAAATCTTGCTGCAGTGACATCTTGAGATATCATGAATATGTTCAGTAGCCATAGTGAGCGTGTCCAGACAATACAACAGTGCAATTAACCATTGACAGTGCACTTAGCAATTAACAGTGCAATCCTAAACAAATTCTTCTATCCTTCTAAATGTCCACTAAAGTCTGCTTAGGACAATGTGCATAATATATGGCAGCCAAAGGAGACATTTCGTTTTGCTCACTTTGCTCTTCTTCCCAACAGGATGTCTGGAGAATGTACTAGTGCTGTAAATATATGTAAGTCACGGAAGAGTTTTGTTCTGGTATTTGGGGTGTGCAATAACAGCGTGTTCCTGAAGCCCCCGGACAAAAAAGGGACTATGGGATATCTGCCCGTATGATAAAAAGAAGCTCGATTCTGGGCTGGCAGATTATCATGATGTGAGCAGAGGCTTATGCCACTGCATCTAAATTGGCATGTTATGCTTGGCGTGTCAAGGCTTACGGGGCTTTAAACACACGTAGACATGTTCTTCTTTCTCTGTTTTGGCAGTGACGCACCATCATGTGGCTGCAGGGGAGGTTGGGACACACAGGTGCCCTTTGGTTATCACCACCCAAGAGACTGCTGGAGTCTGCCTCCCTCTCACTTCTTCTCTTCCAAATCCTTGAGATTAACACACTGTGCCTGGGCTTTGCACCCAGTATCTCTAATGAGTGCCAAAGCATATGGTTATTATGACTTGTACAAGTGAGGCTTCACTGTGTATCTCGCTCCATTTTCTGCACCCGTGACTCCAATAGGCTAAGAAACGCTAGTTTAGAATGGCTGCCTAACTTTGCATGGCCCTTATCCAATGGCTGTTGTTTAGTGCTATCGCTGTTGATCTGATGAGGGAGCGGTTCCTCACAGACACACCAATGCCTGCTTCGTCACACTTTTGGTCCTTGCATGTATATTATAAGTGCTGTCAGGTTGTAACCGATTTATGACAACCCCATAGAGATTTCAAGGGAAGAGATTCACAGAGGTGATTTGCCATTATCTGCCTCTGCGGGGAGTCTCCTTGGTGGTCTCCCATCAAAGTACTAACCAGGGCCAACCCTGCTTAGCTTCTGAGATCCAACAAGACTGGGCTAGCCTAGTCCATCTGTTCTTCGGCTTATACCAGTCTGCAAACTTTAGTTTCAAACCACAGTCATGCACCATGTTCAGAACCTCTGCTCTAAATGTTTGGGTTTTTTTAAATATATATTTCCAAATTTACTCATAGAAACGCGTGAAGCTGCCTAACTACATATTAAAAGGGCACTGGGACTTTTAATCAGATGTGCTGCACGAGTGCCATGCTTGGGACTCAGTTCCTGGGTAAATGGGGTCCTGACTTGGATGGGGAAAAAAGT